CCCCCGCCGACGTCAGCCCCACCGTTGATCGCTCTCGCCGCCGAAGTTCACCGAAAATTATGGCATCGACAATTTTAAGGTAAAAATCTTTAAAAAAATTCTCCTAATTTTTTGTATATTCTCACTATGAAATGGTGATTACTTGTAAAAAAATTAGATTTTGAATTATTTATGAATTTTGTGAAGAAAAATTAAATAATTAAATAATTTTGTGTATGAAGTTAAGAGGGGGAATTATAAAAAATTGTAAAAGTTAGTGTTATTACAAATGTTTGATATTTGGTTAAAATTATAGGTTTTTAAAATCGATATTAGAGGATTTAATGGAACATGGTAAATAACATTTTTTTACCATTTTCGTGTAATATTGATATTGAATTTTTTTACTCTTCAGAGGTAATGATGAACGATTGGATCGTAATTTTTTGTTCATATGATGGGAAGATTAACTATCTCGAAAATAATATGCTCATTTATGAAGGAGGTGTGACAAAGCCGTTGTTTATATCAAAATCGTGTACTTTCGATGAATTGGTTAATGACTTACATAAACTTACATTAACCAATTCACATGAGTATCACCTCAACGTTATTTGTAATTATCCTGTTGTGGGGAACATAACAACGGTATTAAAATCTCAAGTGACTATGATACGAGTCTTATTGGAATATTACATGACGAGAAGCGTTCGGTGGAATTATTTATTGAAAAACATCACAGAAATTTGGGCAAATCGGTGAATCACGACGTAATATACTCCCGCATGTTGGAGGACCTTAAAATTGACTCCGCCGACTTTTTATCTCTACAACAAGATGTAGGCTAGACACAGTCACTATACTTGAGCGATCCTTCGCTTGTGAGCACTTCAAATACCTTTGATACTAGCGCTCCCCATGAAGTTGATAATGCAAGTGTCGAATCCGAGGATAATGATGAAAAGGATGACTTACAAATTAATAGCATGACGTGTTTGATGGATTGCGATGAATGGGGACAACCACTATATTGACGGATGTTATACTAACGATGAGTATGTCGGGTTAGAGGATCCGTCGCCCGATAAACTTCGTGAAAAATAATGGATTGATAACTCCACAATGGAAAGTATTACTATCGGCACTGATATCGTTGATGATAAACAAGGTGATGACTTCTCATTCAAAAAGGGAGACCTATTTGAAAGCAAGGAGAAATTGATTCATGCGCTTCGTTTGTGGACTATCCAAAAAAATATCAAATTTAGACAAACAAAAAGCAATGCAACAAGCTATAATATGATTTGTTTTTACCGCAAAGATGGCGAAAAAAAAAGATAATGGTGGGCACCATGACGGCAATACGAAATGTCCTTGAAAGCTTAATTCACGCTTGGGTGTAAGAATAGGCGGGCAATTTAAAATCACACACTACAACGGACTCCACACATGTAGCAATCCTCGTTTAGAGATGAATCATAAGCACGCGTCCGCCTCTTTCATATATCGATTGATTATGCCTAATCTAAGGGAGGATCTTGATCTAAGACCAAGAGATATTCGTCTTTTAGTGCATAAAACGACCAACTTGGATGTATCAAAAAACAAGTGTTGGAATGCTAGGAGGAAAGCGATGATAAAAATATTCCGGGATCGGAACAAATCTTATAAGATCTTACTACATTATCTCGAAGCACTCAAAAGAGAAAATCCGGAGGCAATCTATAAAGTATCATCAGACCCTGCTGATGGCGGAAAACGACGGTTCACAGGTGTATTTTGGTCTTGTATTGAGGGTTTTAGATATTGTCATCCTCTTCTTAGCATTGACGGCACCTACTTGTACGGTAAGTATAAAAACGTATTGCTTGTTGCAACCATAGTAGATGCAGAAGGCAGATTATTTTCTTTGGCGTTTACAGTGGTTGATGTTGAAAACACAAAAAATTAGGCGTGATTTTTTGCATGCATTAGATATCATATCCCTTTAGTGTGGAGGCGCAGTTGATTACATTCATATCTGATAGGATGAAAGGAATTTTAATAACACTCCAACGACACTTCCCGTCGCCCCATCAACATCGTTATTGCTTGCGACATATTAGAAACAACTTCAAGAGGAAGCATGAAAACGGGCAGGTTCAAGATCTTCTTTGACAAATCGGCTGTGCAACGAAAAAATTAGTTTATGAGCAACTACGGAAGAGGATTAAGTTCATTTCACGAGCTGCACATGAATGGATCGAAACTAGTTTGGATCCACACAATGTTGATAAGTGGGTTTTATGTGAAGATGTCGAGAAACGATTCTGTATGATAACTACGAACGCTTCTAAGAGTTTCAATGGTGTGATTAGGGGAGCACGCGGTATGTCAATACAGTTACTAGTTGCAAAAATATTTTAGAGACTTAATAAATTCTTTCTCCAACGTCGCACACTTGGTGCAAATATCTCGTCAAAGCTCACGCCGAAGGTTGAAGACATATTAGCAGATCGGATTGTGCATGATCGATCATTTCGTGTCGTATAGTATAGTTTTAATGAATGAGAGGTCATTGATGGAATATTACATAGAGAAAGTCGCTCTTACAAAGTTAATATGCTAGTGGGTCACACTTGTACATGCACTTACAATGTACCGGAACTACAATGGCTTCCTTGTTCCCATGTAGTCGCGGCTTGCTCTGATCTACATGGTGGTGCGAGGATTTCACATTTTACATTCGTCGCAGATAAGTATTCAACTTATAACTATCAACAAACATACAAAGAGATAGTCGATATTGGGCACAAGACGGGCCACAAATATTACCTTCTTTGTATAAAAGATTAGCTGGGCGTCCTCGTTACGTACGAATTAGAAATAATATGGATGATGGTTGAGAAGGAATTAGGAGAAAAAATAAGTACAGTAGATGCGATCAACCGGGTCACAACAAAAGCAGTTGTCCAGCTAGGATTAGGTGTTGATTTTTAATTTTAATGTTTGTTCCTATGTGACATTCGTATTTATAATATGTAACCTTCTAATATTAATCTTTGTTCCCATGTGACATCCATATTTGTAATATGTAACTTTCTAATATTAATCCTTGTTCCCATGTGACATTTGTTTTTTTTTAATATGTAACCTTCTAATATTAATCATTATTCCCATGTGACATTCGTTTTTTGTAATAGGTAACCTTCTAATTTTAATCATTGTTCCTATATGACATACGTTTTTGTAATTCGTTTCCTTCATTTTCCAAAACCCATTTTCCTTCACTTTTTTGTGTTTCCTTCACTTTCATGGAAAGTGTTTCTTGTGTTTGTTTTTTTTTGTGTTTCCTTCACTTTCATGGAAAGTGTTTCTTGTGTTTGTTTCGCCAAAAAATATGGGCTGAAAGTACTTTCCACCTCACTTTCATGGAAAGTGTTTCTTGTGTTTGTTTCGCCAAAAAATATGGGCTGAAAGTACTTTCCACCACTTTTCTTAGTTTGGTTCAACTTGAAAAAAAAAGAAAACAAATGATGTGTGAATAGATTTTCTCACTTTCTAGTGTTTGGTTCAAATGAAAAAAAGAAGTATGACTATGATCACCATGGTGTGCTTACCACCTTTATAGCATAAATTTATTTCCAACATAAATTGAGAAGTGAACATATATCAACCGTCACATAAATTAGAACTAACATGGTATAAATTAGAACTAACATGAGTCGCGATAGAACTAACATGGTATAATTAGAACTAACATGGTACAAATTAGAACTAACATGGTACAAATTAAAACTAACATGATATATATTAGAACTCACGTGGCATATATTAGAACTAACATAGTACAAATTAGAACTAACATGAGCCGCGATAGAACTAATATGGTATAAATTAGAACTAATATGGAATAAATTAGAACTAACATGGTACAAATTAGAACTAACATGAGCCGTGATAGAACTAACATGGTATAAATTAGAATTAATATGGTATAAATTAGAACTAACATGGGTACAAATTAGAACTAACATGAACCACGATAGAACTAATATGGTATAAATTATAACTAACATGGTACAAATTAGAACTAACATGGTACAAATTAGAACTAACATGGTATAAATTAGAATTAATATGGTATAAACTAGAACTAACATGGTCACAATGGTGTGCTTACCACCCTTATAGCATAAATTTATTTCCAACATAAATTGAGAGGTGAACATATATCAACATGGTGTGCTTACCACCCTTATAGCATAAATTTATTTCCAACATAAATTGAGAGGTGAACATATATCAACCGTCACATAAAAATATTTAAAATTTGAGAGGTGAACATATATCAACCGTCACATAAAAATATTTAAAATTTTGAGGGACTAATTTACAATTTTAAAAAAAATTAATGTAGTGATTTGCAACATATTCAAAGATTTGTGGGGCTAGTACCTAAATCATATAATCATCTCATATAACGAAGAACCAAAATGTTCAATGAACAAGACATAATTAAATGTCATAACAACCAATTGATTACAAGTACATCGATCGTCAGCATGTAATATCCAAGACTGAATCAAGGCTGAAACCAACTTGAGAGAAACCAAGACTCGAACAACCCAAGAAACTAAAACTAACATGGCATAAATTAGAACTCGCATGACATAAATCAGAACTAGCATGACCCCAGGTAAAACTAACATGACCTCAGGTAGAACTAACATGGGTGCAGAAACTAGTACTCACATGGCATAAATCAGAACTAGCATGACCCCAGGTAGATCTAAAATGACCTCTGTTAGAACTAACATGGGTGCAGCTAGAACTAATACGGTATAAATTAGAACTAACACGTTATGAATTTGAACTCACGTGGCGTAAATTTGAACTAACATGGGCTACGATAGAACTAACATGACTTTTATTAGAACTAACGTGACCCAATTCTTATCTAACACGACGCCAACTAAGACTAGCATGACCCAAATAATGACTAACATGAATACGACTAGAATT